TAATATTTGAACCAATTTCAGCATGGGTATTAAGTCAGATTTGAATAAAACTTTTAGATTTTGATTGAAAACAATCAATCTCTATAAATTGCATATTATTGTATAAATTTATAAGTTAGTAAGGATATTTCCCTTCATAAGTTTAATATGAATAAATTTACTATAAATGGGCATCGCATTTAAGTTTCCGAGGCTTTCATATCTCTGTATCACTAAACTATAATTCCAATATTACAAACGATAAATAATAGTAATATTAATACATTACCAATGTGGTAATGCTATTTTTCCTTAATTTTCTAACACTCGCATCATTATTAATTGGAGCCTTTTCATTTTCTGAACCATATCTATACCCAAATGACACTTTTTGGCAAATCTTTTTACAACTTAGTTGATTATAATTAAGATATAAAATACAGACTAGAGATAGACAGCATCAGGCCTTTCTAAATACCTAGTTTCGTTTAGATAAAGAGCAAAACATCAATTTAACAGACTTTAAAAAAAATTGATACCAACGGGATTTGATCATTGTTTTGAACACTAAGATAATGCCCTAACCCGCTACGGCACCCATGAACTACAAAATATCGATTTAAAATTATATACATTTTAATTTAATTATCCTATGAAATTTCTATATATCAGATCAGAAATAATATATTCATTACTTTATTGTGTAATTATGTTTAATTTTATATCTCCCATTATTCGACCTAATAATCTAAATAAAAATGAGCTCTTACTACAATTTCAAATATTATTTTAAAACATAGATTATCAAAAGGTTAAGTTATATATCATTAATTTAAATTAATCGCTTCAAAAGCATTGGGGGTCATTTATATCTAATCACAACCCATCGTTGGATTTTGATATGTGAGATATCGATATCTCATACATTAAGATCACACGTTACACCGTGTGTAAAATTTTTAATAAATTAAAGAACCGGGTTGGGCTCATTTTTAAAAATAAATTTAAATATCAACTAATGAGTTAGAAAATCATATAATTTTATTTAATACTCATTTACTATGCATATCTTCAATTTCCTATTGAGAAAATTTTCTGACCAAAATAACAAAATTTCAAAAATTCCGGGCCGGTACTAAAATTATATCCTCTGTTACTGAATGGGCGTTTGCCTTTTGTTATACATTTTTAATAAAAACATACATCCCCTGTAAAATTGAGGTTTTTTATTAATATTGTCGATTCAAAATTTTAACTAAGACTTCATTAATAGTTAACGCGCTATGTTCAAGCATTGGTTATAAGTTATAAAAAAGAATTGGTTTTTGTAAAATTATTATCTTCTGCCTTTTTATTTCATTAATTTCTAAATATTCCAAATGGAGAAGCTCTAAGGAAATATTTTTCAAAGTTTGAAGAAAGAAATTAGCAAAAGTCCTATTTTCGTGTTCGATAATGAGTGCGAAGTAATTTTAACAGCAGAACATAGGGGCTTTGTTGCATATGATCCACGGAATGGAGCGCCCCATTTTATGTATTTCGAAACACTTGACGAAGACAGAAAAATTATTCTGTGATTGATGAGGCACTTGCGCTAACATTTTGGTTGAGGGAAGGAAGAAAGAGTTTGGTAGGTCGCTTTTGTGGCCTATACGGATCATAACAGCCTGATTGTGGGATTATTTAGGAAAGACAAAGAGTTGATGCTTTCATCAAGGTTGTAACAGTGGATGTTTTTGGTAGGTACAGGAAGGGAAAAATGTACGGTTAATTTCCTGTCCAGGATGGTTGTGAAAGCAGTTGAGGATTTGATGGCTGAGGTAGCAATTTAAAACAGTAAGCTTAAGGGAACTTAAAAAATCTATAAATTTGGAAGTAATAAAAGGAGCGCTAGATCAAGAATTGGCATGAGTAGGTGAAAAACCCTAGAATAGAGAAGAATTGAAGAACGATTACGACGATAAATTTAGAATGGTTTGTATTATAAATTCAGTTACTACAATTAACTGACTGCTGTGGGAATATTTAGTTTACTTATCGATCGTTGATACTTGCTCATCAATTCATAAACAGATATAATACAGATCTGGTTTGTGCTAAGTTCCGATATTTCTGTTAGTCATATTTACGTATTCGACGGGATATTTAAAATTTTTATTATTTTCAATTGCTTATCAGATGAAAGATTGTACATTTGAAACAAATCAGAAGCTTTCCATTCTCTTATCTTCATAGAATTTCCTGATTGTGTTATGACATGTGGCTATATATGCGGAAAATATTTTCCCGCTGGCTATGCGCCTGTCTTTTTCTGTTCTCATTTCATTGATATAGGAGTCATTGTCATTCTTTCCATTCTTATTTCATATTGTGATAGAGTTTTCCCTACAATTTTTTGTTTATTTTAAATGCGCTGGCAAACTTTTGCATCTATTACTAAATGTATATAGTATTCTATTGATGATGATAAATTAAACAAAACTAATCCAGGTCATTCCTATGGCTGATGGAAGAAAGATATTCTCATTGTAGAGAATGAGCAAAAAATTTAGTGGAAAAACTTTCTTTTTTTTCCCTCCCCCTTAAAACTCTAAAAATCAATATTATATTTTTTTTAAATTTTTCAAAAAAATTTCCATGTAAATTTTTCAAAAAAATTTCCATGTAAATTTTTTATTATTTATAATATGGGTTAATTAACTCCTCTCTACTCTTGTTAAAACAATTTTGATAAATAGTCTGGGTGGGGTAAATACACTACCACATTCTAAATACACGTATAAAATGTAATTATAATCTGACTCAGACCCAAAGCCAAAATATTTTGGTTTCAGCTTTACTTTCTAATTTTTTTTAGCATTCATAACCCCCTATCAGCTTATCCCCTACCCCCCAGCACATGCTCACGTTTATATACGTTAAATCAAAGTGAGTGGACCTATGATTTACTAAATATTTAACACAACCGAATCTTTAAAAGGTTTTAAATTCTAATTTTCCATGGTTTTATTTTAATTTTTTTATTTACCTGTCTATTTTTAGAAATAAAAAAAAATAACATGTAATTAATAAACTCTTACTTTTATTTTAAAATCGATATTTTCTTCCATACCTTTTCTCTCTCTTTCTCTATTTTATTTATCATCTTCAACGCCTTAAAAAATCGATACCTTTAATTAAAATTATAAATTTGCTAGTTTTTTTTTAAAGAATGGGATTTTTCAGGAATAAGGGAACTAAGATTTTCCGTTTATAATTATTATATTTAATAATTAACCTCATTTTTTTCTTCTTGCATCTTTTTACCTCCTTGCTTTTGTAAGGATACTGAAATTGTATTTTTGTTGTTAAAATAATATTTTGCTGTTTTCTAGGCCCTAACTACTGGAATTTGGGAGACTAGACTTCCATCCTAATGGATTTCTATCTATTCATGGAAATATAATATAAATAAAATAAATTTTAATCAAAAAATGAGCGAATATTACATTAAAAGGTCAATTAATATGTATTTATTTAAATTTACTACGAAGGTCTCCACGTCTTTCACCGAGTGTGGGAGATTTCGGTGATTTTTTTTAAATAAGAACATTTAGCTCAAAACTCCTGTTATTTTTTCTTTTCCTCTAAGCTAAGTGACACCATTTACTTCCCGCTATTCTAGAACTAAATCCAACTTTATGGTTAAGAACGAGATTACTTAATTATAATTAAAATAATCCCTCTCTCCTTTCTCTCTAAATGGACTCAAAATTAGCGGAGCCTTTACAATTATCTTTACCGTAATCTAAATCTAAAAGGAGCGACAGAACCTATATAATTTTTCTGAACTGACTTAATTTAAACCAGTTTTTTTTCATATATATTTTAATTTACGAATCCATATAATTGAATAATAACACCTTCCTGGTGAGTTTTGAACTAGATTTTTTTTATAATTTATAATATTATGTTTTGAATTTAAATAATAATTCAAAGTAATAAAACTTTTTCGATAAATTAATTTTCATACAATATAATATTTGCATATTTTATTTACAATTTGCAAATATATTTAATTTAAATATTCTCTACTTTTCACATATACATTTTTTTTATTAATAAATCCTAAATATTTATTATATTTTTTATAATGTGTATTATATATTTTGTTAAAATTAAATTAATTCACGTTTTTGCTTGTCTTTCTTCTAGATTTTTATTTAATGTGATAAAAATACATATAACAAAAATTTGAAGAAAAAACTTTATAATTTTTTTTAAAATCGGAACCAAACCACCTTTTAATTTAATCAGCTTAACCTTACCGTAACCTTTGTAATATTTTGCCCCTGAACCGGAAACCTTTCTACATTCGCGTCTTTGCTAAATATATTGTTATTATTTATTAATCATTTTAAATTAAATAAGTTCGATTAACAATTAAATTGTATCATTATTTTTTTGCGTGTTTATTTTTGAATATTTTTGCGTGTCTTTTCATAAATCAATAATCAATAAAAATTATCGATTTTTTTAAAATTTTTCCTCATCTTTATATATATTTATATCACCCTCTCCCCCTTTTCCTTTAGATTTTCTTTCTCTATTCTAATATTTTTCAACGATGTAATGTTAAACAACGCGTTGCTCTCTATTATGATTTAAATATTATATTTCCAAATTATAATCATAAGAGAAAAGAATACTTTATTTATTTTTTTATAAGCATATTTAATAAATTAATTATTTCATCCTAAACAAATGCTAATCAATTAATATATACTAATCGAATATTTGATAAGTTATAACGGACATATTTCAAATTCATCACTTGTAGAATCAGAATTTTAAACTTTTAAAATGCCTTCATAATTCTTAATAACATGACCCGAATTAGGCCAATTCACTGTGTATTAATACTGCTGGCCATTCTATTTCATTCTCCTTTATAACTGTAATACAAACAACATACTATTTGTACTGATTGTGTGAAAATGTTTATATATATAATAATTTTTTTTACTATTTTAACAATACAGATAATATTTTCGTGCATATCGTTTCAGATAACTCGATATTCTTTTCCAGCTATAATCACAATTATAGCGTTCATAATTCACGGAAATTTGACAATTATTACGGAATTCGATAAAACCCCACTTATATTTCTGGATATAGAGTATTATAATTATTCTAGGACCTAAGATTGATTAATATTCGCTAAAAAAGAAAGAACCCTTTCCTCTCTATATTGAAACACCATGAGCGAATTAGAGCAATTGAGACAGGAAGCTGAAGCACTCAAAAATCAAATTCGCGTAAATTTGACTTTTATTTATTATTTTAACTAATTTTAAAATCATAAATCCAAGAATTATATGCACAAATACATGATCTATAGAATAATATTTCCGGCTTATTATTTTTTTAATTCCACATATAAGCATTTCTATTTACGATTAAAATTAGTAAAAACATCAATGATGTATAATTATAACTTAAATTTATTTTAAAGATTATTGCTTAATGTTGTTTAGTTATTATAAATGCCCACAGGTCCTTGCAAAAGGAGGACCAAAATTGAAATATTTAGGGAGGCTAAATTTTGGTTCTTGTGCATTCTTTGCTATTTGTTTTTAAATCCATTATGACTCCCGTCCGCCGAAATTCTTATAGCGGTTTTTAGTAACTGATCAAATATTGAAATTATTTTTCAAACAATAGGCTCTTATTACTCAATTTAGTATCGCTCAAATATTTTTCCACGAACTTGTATCAAAGGGCCTAACATTCTCAAATTTAAAAAAAGACTTATCATCTATATTATAAGATCTTAATTTTAAAGGGGTGGGGTTTAAAAACAAAAAAAAATACATTGATGTTAATAAGGTTGCTAAATTAATATTTCAACCTTAAATCATTTAAATTTTAAAAATTAACTTAAGCGTTTTCAAAAATAAATTGCAGTAGCTAATTTTAGTTTTAAAGGCGCTATACCTCTTCTAACGCCAATTTCTATCAACTTTATTAATGAAGGTAAATATTAATTTTTACCCATTTTCATTCGCTTAGATATTTTCAGGTAATTTTTTCTAAGTTGAGTGGAAAAATTAATAGGAATAAAATATTACGATTAATAATATTTTTCATCAATTTCAATTGTGAACCCCCACCCCTCCATTCTCACTTAACTTTTCAGGGATCCGACCTTTAACCAATAATGGTTTATGAAAAATAACGGTTCAGGTTCGGTTCTTAAAAATAGTACATTTTGGGCTGAGCCTTTAAACTCGATTCATGAAATATATATCATATTTTTTAAGTTTTAGCACTAAAACTCATTCATAAACCAAAAATTAAACAAATTTATGCATTTTAAAATTACCTTTTTCCAAAAAAAAAATACTTGAACCTTGACAATAAAACTATTTGCAAGATTCTCTTTTGTCAATTTATAAAGGAGAAAGGATAAATTTTATGGTTGAGAAACACCCTAAATCTTCATTTACATATGTCTAGTGTCATCTTTGTCTCTAATTGGATAATTCCATGATTATACACAGTTACTTTTTTCCAAAAAAAAATACTTGAACCTTGACAATAAAATTATTTGCAAGATTCTCTTTTGTCAATTTGTAAAGGAGAAACAATAAATTTTATGGTTGAGAAACACTCTAAATCTTCATTTACATATGTCTAGTGTCATCTTTGTCTCTAATTGGATAATTCCATGATTATACACAGTTTTATGGACTTCTTTCAAATCAAATTTTTGCATTGTTGAATTAGAAGGATACTAGTATAAAGTTTAAAAATGATTTCCTTCCTATCATTGCAAAAAGTTTAAAAGTAAAAAGATTACTCGTAAAAAATTAAATTATAGAGTTCTGAAAAGCCCTACCATGCAAATTTTTATCAAAATAATAAAAAGCCTTTCCGTATAATTTATAGATAAAAAATAAGGTAAGGCCTCTATCTTCTCTGATTTTTTGTAAAATTTTGATAAGCCATCCCGGGCATTAAAATTTTGATCAATTTTTTTGAATTTCAAGCTAATATTTTGATTAATACTATTTGAAAATGAATTTAAGAGTTGCCCAATTAAAATATAAAATTAAGCAAGTTATTTATGATATTTAATTACAAATACACAATGCAGATATCAAACCCAATTGATTATAAACCGGTTTTTACAGAAATAGATATCCATAGAGGATTGATGTAAAAGCCTTAATTGGCATTGGGGGAGGGGGGAATTAAATATTGAAAGTGTGGAGGCCGGAAAATTTAACAAACTGACTGAGCTTAATTTTCGTAAAATTTTAACAGGCCTGGCCTTAAAAAGCAATAACGGGCCGGGGAACTTGTGCACCCGTCCCGGGATTAACTAAAAAAATTGCTGGGACAAAAGTTGGTTTGCTAGTTTTTTATCGAAATAAAAATTCAATACAAGTGACAATACTCATGATTTAAAATATTCAATTTTATATACAAGAAAAGGAATATATATTTTAAATCTTAAATATTCAGGTCAAAATATATAAAAACCTTTAAAAGTTATGCCATTTAAAAAAAATTGATGGGCTTAAAAATTGAAGGTATTGGCCGATATAGATACTGATGCCCTGAGTTAGATGCATCTCCGTTTCTCTTTAAAATTTTAAATCATTTGAATATTTGGAAAAATATAATTCTAAAATAAATTTAATGAAGCTACTGAAGATTTCAGATCATTATAATTAACCGTTATTATAATGCTGGGGATGTACACTCCCCGTGAAATATTGGAAGGTTAAAAAAATTTTTGTATCAAATAATGTTATTATATTCTAATAAGATTGATTTATTTTAAATCATTTAATATAATGCCAATCAATATTGAATTATATTAGATAAAAATTATAAGAAAACCAATTTTTATCCTAATCCATTTTTTTGTAATATACAATCTATTAATTTCAATGAATGAATATATTTGTAAAATTTTAGAAAAATTTCATATAATGATACCAAATATAGTTTTCTATCAGAGTTTGGAACCCTCGGAACCTACTAGGAATCATAACCTGGAATCCTCTTAAAATTTGTAAGAACCAGAACTCATTTTTAAATTTTCGGGATACGGTTCTAACAATAGTGCAATAGGCTTATTCAGAATCGAATCAAATAGTCGATTCATTTTGAATAATTTGTATATCTTGAATCAAACATTTGACGAATTATCAATATATTTTTTAATAAATATCATTTCTTTTGATAACCTGTCAATCTGACAGGTGATGTGATTAGCAAGGTACATCAACTGCCTGTGAAAGGTCCTTCTCTGTTGAAACTAATTTTTTATGCGTAAAAATCTCATTAATGGATAGAAAAAAATAAAATCAAAGAAGTAATAAGGAAAACTCTTTGCAAAATTGGCTTGGCATTATAAATTAAATTAATATGCATTTTAATTTCATTAATAACTTTTTGATCGTAGTATGTTCTTTGTCATCCGAATAAATATTATAATAATTATTTCTTTTGAAATTTAGATGCACAATATTTTAAAAAAGAAAGATTCTTCCAATATGCTTTCCTATGAATAATTTTATAATTTTTTTAAAAAAAACCACTTATTTGAAGAGTTTAAATCGTACTAATAGTTACACTTTTAAAAGTTTAAAAAGTAACTACTTATATTGCAAGTTACTTTATAATTTATTTATATAACTCATCATTTTTAATATAATTTGCGTTACAAATTTTTATCAAAGGAAAAATTAATTTAGGATTAAAATTTTGCTTAAATTAGTAGTGGATTATAGGGCATACTTTGGAATATTGTTAAAAGTAACAGTTATTTACTTGTTGCCCTAGCCCTTACTATTTACCTTTTTTAAAGTAATTATTTTCAGTCAATTTCAAAAGTAACAAGTTACTGCAAGTTTCTTTATAAATTATTTATAAAACTCATCATTTTTAATATAATATTTCGATTTACAAATTTTAATTAAAGGAAATTAAATAAAATACTATTTAAATAAAGAAATGATTTCACTAAAAAAAGCATAACGGTGTAATATTTATTTAAACTTAAAAAATATTTTATTTTTTGAAAATATGGGTTTAATGGATATTTTTGATTTAACAATAAACTCTTTCCTGAAATGATGTCTGAAAAACATGCTTTACTCCAAAAATACGCTTTATTAAACTAAGGAAACGTTCTACATGAGCATTCAATGTGAGACATATTTAAAATAAATTCGAAAATCATTATATATAAAGATAATGAATGGGATACTTATATAAATATTTATAAATTAATTGACTTTTATCTTTATATTTAAAAAAATTCAACTATTAACAGTTATTAAATTTGAAAAAATGTTACTAGTTATATACAACACTACTTTATCACAATCTTTTATTTTTATTTATTAAGACTTCCACCTTTTTTATGAAAATATTAATATGCATGTTCTATAAATAATAAACATTATTATAATAACCAAAAAAATATAATCTTCTCTATTTTAATACGGTATGAATTTATTAGGACGCTAGGAAGGCCGCATGCGATACAACCTTATCACAAGCCGCTAGTGGAGTGGAACCGGTGGGAAGGATTCAAATGAGGACGCGGAGGACATTACGGGGTCATCTGGCCAAAATATACGCCATGCATTGGGGAACCGATTCTAGGTTTGCAAATCATGTTTAATTTTAATAGAATGAAGGATATAAGGGGTGTGGGTGTAAAGAGCCGAGAAAGGGAAGAAAGAAGGCCAAGGAATGATATATTTTAAAATAAGGAGAGATAAATGAGAGAAAGAATAAAAATTGTATATAGGCTTAAATAATACCTGCTGCTTTGGAAAAACTACAAAAAATAGAATTAAATATTTTAATTACTATCATATTATGTTTCCTTACGTTGAACCAATGTTTATCATTTATTTTTGAGTTTAAATATTTTTAAATTTCAGAATTGGATAATTTAGCCTCTTGATAATTTTTTATATTAATATTAAAATTCTTAGATTCTTATAAATATCTTAACAGGTATCTGGTTTCCGCCTCTCAAGACGGTAAACTCATAGTTTGGGACGCCTACACCACAAATAAAGTGATTATGTTGAATATTTTATTTGGCGATTTTCCTTTCTTAATTTCTTTCTTTTTACATATTTCATTCACCCCTTTTTTTCTTCATTATAACATTTTTATATCTTATTTAATGGGTTTAAAATTCCCAGAAAATGATGAATATGCATATTCCTACGAACCTTTATACCACACTAAATTCTTAAAGGCAAGTTTACATTTTACTTTCAAATATCTTAAACGTAATTTAAGACAATTTTTTGAAAGACAATAAGGTTATTTGCTTCATCTTATTTATTTTATAACACTATTTTCAGAACTTCTTGAAAATTTTAAACTGTAAACTTTATGCATAACGGTTGGCCCGGGACCTAGATTCACATTACAGCGCAGTTTATAATTATTAAAATATAATTTCAATACACATGTAATTTTATATTTGAAATCTTACAATCTCACAATATAGGTCCACGCAATTCCTCTACGTTCTTCTTGGGTTATGACTTGTGCATACGCTCCTTCAGGCAATTTTGTTGCCTGTGGAGGACTGGACAATATTTGTTCTATTTACAGTCTCAAAACGAGGGAAGGTAACGTTAGAGTGAGTAGGGAACTGCCTGGACACACTGGTTATCTATCTTGTTGCAGATTTTTGGATGATAACCAGATAGTGACTAGCTCTGGTGACATGACTTGGTAAATTAATATTTTTTAATTTAACATAGGTTTGGCAAAAATCATGACTTTTTCCTATAAGGATCAAAAAATCGATTCTTCTGTTTAAATTTTTTTATAATCAATATTTACAAATTTATTCTAATTTTTATTATACTTTCTAGTATATAATCAACAAAATATATTAAAACTAGTAATAAAATTTTTTTACTGCGGCCTAGCTTTTATTTTTTAAATCAAAAATGGTTTTTTTCAATGCCCCCGACGAAATTTTTGGAAGCTGGGAGAAGACCTTCCACACTTTTTTCTTCTACCATTTTTTTAGTTTTAGAATTTTAGTCCCAATTTCCCACTTAAGACGTTTCAAACGGTTTCAAGAGATTTTTCACCCCCCCCCCCCCCCATTGAACCAAATCTAATTAAGAAATCAATATTTTTTACGCAAAAAATCGAATTATGCATTTAATTTATTTTTTTTATTTTTACAATAATTAAAAAAGGTTTACAGATATTGGTAGTATTAAATAAATTTTTTATTTCCTCCCCATGCCACAGATAACGCATTTTGTAAAATTATCTTTGTATTTTGTAAAATATTTCCATAATTCAGATAACTTATTTAAAAAAATTCTTTTATTTAAAGTATAAATAATAAAATTGGCGTTATTAAAAAGATTTAAAATAAATAAAACTTTGAGTGTTCCTTTCTATTTTTATAAAAATCTTTTAAAATACTATAAATCTATTTTAAAAAATAATAAAATTTAAGGAGTGTTATGCATTTTGTTTAAAATAAATTATTTAGAAAATATTATTAATGTAAAATAAATATCCATAAAATAACAAAAAAAAGAAAAGTAAAAAAATCGGATCGGGTTTTACAGGTATCGGCCAAATCCGATATTTTTGGAAACGCTAAATATCGGTGCCGATCCTATATTTAATATCGGCACAGCCCTAGTTAGAATTATATTTTTTAATCAAATGGCAGAATATTTTAAATAAATTCAATGAATACAAGTTTTCTTTTATTCACCTTCATATTATTCGGATATTAAGGCATAAAATTTATATAGGACAAAAGCTTTAACTAATCACAGAGATAATGAGGGTGTATATTACGTCATAGGATCTCAATTAATATCTATCATTCTGATTGTCAATCATTTCCTGTTGGTTTATCTTAAATTAATTATATTTTTGATCATATTTTTAGCTGTTTAAAATTTAACACTTATATTTACGGCAGGCAAAATTTTTTATATCGAAATTAATAAAAAATAAAATTTTAAATCAAACTTAATGTTTTAAATTATTCTTTTTAAACTGAAACAACTATTTTCTTTATATGTTTATTTATATTGCAATATTATTAAAACTGTTTTACTATGTGAAGGATAAACATAACTTTATTTCAAAAAGAAACAGCAAAATATTGTAAAAAGAAAATATATCCCAAAAGAGGAAGCATAATTATTACAAAATCCTATTCAAATGATCTGAAAATATATTTATTAAATTAAAATCTTTGAAGTGGACAGGTTGTAAAAATCAATTCCTATTTGAATCCAAGAAAATTGTACATCTATTGCATGCAAAGTAAAAGAAATTTTTGAAAATCTCATTCTGACATTTATCACATGATTTTATGAAATCAATAGTGTCTTGAAATAATTGTGGCCACCAATATCATAAACACAAAATTAACAAATCTAACACCATAATTAATACCTTTCAGAGAGTTCTAGTTGAGTTTTATTTATGTCTAGGCTGGCTCCAATAACTTTAAACTAGGGATATATCTAATCCTTGGTGAATTACAGATATTACCCTTTGTTTCTTTTCTTCTTCCAGTATTATCAAAACTTATAAATAAATAGCAAATTACTATTGTGATCACATTTACATCTAAAATATCTTTACCTGGACTATTTTTATATAGTATAGTAGAGTATATTTTCCTGTTAGCATTTCTGTATTGCTTGATATCATTATAATTATGAATTTAAATGTACCAATATAATTCATTGAGAAAGTTTTATGATGTATTGATCTATAATTATGACTTTAAATTACTAATCTATAAATAAATTAAATGTATTTTATTGATTACTTGAGAAATTTATAAAATATCTTGATGTACAAATCTATAAATGAATTCAAATGTACCAATTATAATTATGAGTTAAAATTTACTAATTTATAAATTTATAAAATTTTGTAATGTACAAATCTATAAATGTATGGTATAATATGAAATTTCCATTTTAAAAAAAACTAGATTTATTTATAATACAAACAAAAAATTGATTTAATTATTCTAACCCTAATTTAACATTAAAAAAATCATATTAGTTGGAATTTTTGGTGCTGCTTAAATTCAAATATCTACTATTTTTTAATTTCTGCTTGCTGAATTTAAAATAGGTTTGAATGCCTAAATATCTTTTATCAGGGGTAAGATTTATTTATATTATGAGCTTACATTAAGAATTGATATATGCCTTTTTGATAGAATTAATTAAAATTATTCATAATTTTTCTTTATTATAGTGCATTATGGGACATAGAGACTGGACAACAATGTACGGCCTTCCTAGGTCACACGGGCGATGTTATGAGTCTTAGCTTAGCTCCCGACATGAGGACTTTTGTATCTGGAGCTTGTGATGCATCTGCCAAGGTTAAATTATTATTTTTGGCCTTGGATTAATCATAAAGGAGTAATAAGGATGAAATAGTGAAAAATTGATAAGGAGTGAGAATTAAGAGGAAAAGGAAAAAAAATATTTAAAAATAATATTTTTAGATCTATCGATTTAAAAAAAATTATTATGTTCATATTTCTTTTATAATTAAAAATTAATTTTCGCATTTAAACTCAATTTCAGTTATGGGACATAAGAGACGGTATGTGCAAACAAACATTCACTGGCCATGAATCAGATATTAACGCTGTTATAGTAAGCTTTATATTATTATGTATTTTATTTATTTTTTATACCGGTACTGGAGTAGTTAGTATCGTGTCCAATCTTTTTCCTTGGCTTAATCTTTAAAATCAGGACCTTTGTCTTGTTTGGGTTTGAGGGATCATCCCAATTGTTTTAATCAATTTTATTTTGTTTATAGTACATGTAAAAAATTTAATATTTTTGTGTAAATAAATAAATAAGCATAATATTTACTATTGCGACACTTTATATTCAAGGATATAATAATTCCGTTATAAATATTCCTTTTTTAAATAGTTTTTTCCGAGCGGTCAAGCCTTTGCCACTGGTTCCGATGACGCTACTTGCCGCTTATTTGATCTGCGAGCCGATCAAGAGGTGGCTTTATACTCGCACGATAACATTATTTGCGGTATAACTTCCGTCGCTTTCAGTAAAAGTGGGCGATTACTCATGGCCGGGTACGACGATTTCAATTGTAACGTATGGGATACGCTTCGACAGGAAAGGGCTGGTAATTAATTATTCTATAGAATTTTATTTTTTATGAGGATATCAATGAAAGGATAATGATAAAAACAAAAATTATTGGCTCTACACTCAATACCTAAATGGGAAAGAATTTTTTAAATGAGAAAAACTTTATTTATAACTAATTAAAATATCATTAGTGAATATATATTTATCAATTTCATAATTACTTATGGCTATAAAAACAGTTACAGATTTTAAAAAAAGCAAGGGCTCAGAACAATAACATTTTTGCACCCTGTTCATATAAAGATTTTAAATTTCCGAAAACTTAAGCCGATTCCATGCAAACTTTTGGAATGTTTTGAAAAAAAATATTTTGTTTTATTAACTAGCTTATTTTATTCACTATATTTTCCTCCTACAGTGTCATAATAATTTTCATCCAATTTCAATATGATCAAGATAATACATGAAAATAATAACCACTTATAATTGTACTTTATGATTAACTTGAGTTTAGAAAAACAGATTCTCTTTTGCATCATGAATTTTTTTTATAAACGTTGATTTTTTTATATTTAAATCAGAAATATAAAAGGATCGATTTTTATTCAAATCTGATTTTATATAAAATAAAAATAATTTTAAAGGAATGCTTTAGAGTGGAATAGCTCCTCTTGGCTTTTTCGTTAAGGGGCCGTTTTCCAAGTTTAGCTGGATAATCCATTTTCTTTTCTAATCCCTTTCATTTTAAATGATTCTTAGCACTGGCCAAACTTATTTTTTCCATCTCGTTTACACTACTCTCATTCAGCTTGTTTTTGGATAATATTCTGAGTCTTGTTTCCTCCATTTCCAACAGTATATCTATCCAATCGTCCTTTGCCTTCTGTTCTAAACCATCCCAGTATCTACTTATATCCCAATCCTTTCTCTCAATTTTTGCTTGTTATTCTCTCTCTCAACGATATCCCACATATCTATCTAACAACTTCTCTCCCTTCTTTCCAACTAAACTTCGTGAGTCACCTTAATTACTAATGTTTCGCTGCCGTATATCATACAACTTCTTACACATCTTGCATAAACTTTTCTTTTCAAAGCTGGAGAGACATTTTTATCCGCTAAAATTGAAGATATCCTTTCTCTTCCATAACCATCTTCCATCCCAGTATTTTTTCGTTATCACTATTAGTTCCTCGACATATAGTATTTCCCATGGAAGTCTTTGCGTGTCTCTAGCCACTAGCTCCATTACTATAATAAAAATAATGAACTAAAGACGGATCTCTGATATGCGCTACCTTTACTTCAAAACTTCTTTATCCATTATTTGGTCTAACAACCGTTTGTGCCTTTTCATACATCATCATCATCTAGTTTATTACATATTAGTCATTTGTCCACGCTTGATTTCCTCAAGGTCAACTTTGTGACCTATTATGCCAAATGCCTTCTCCAGATCTATAAATACATTGTAAAGCAACTTTCCCTTATTTTGGTATTCCTGCATTAGCCTCACTGCGTCATCCTTTCCATGTGAAGTCGAATTTTATATCATTCAATTACATTAGGTCCCTAATTCTCTCTAACATTCTCGTAAACCTATGATCACAATCTAGAGGATTATCTTTCCTTTGTATATCGGGATTATCGCAGTTGCTTACATTGGTGAGCCAATCGATTCCCAGATATTTTTTTTGTTTGCTTAATTGTTCTATTTATTGTAATTTTAATAACCTTTCCTTATACGACTTCCAAACCTTTTTTTATCCGTTACTATAATTACGATTTTTTTCTCGATATTTTTGAAACAATTCTCACCCAATATCCTGCTCTCTTTTTCTCTCTGTTTTAACCGAATATTTATTTACCAATAAGCGTGTATATTACGCATATTAATTGCGCAGTATGTAATATAGGCTTAATTTAACAATAAAAAATAATAATCAATATTTATCAGGTGTGCATTTATAATAATTTTAATACATTCTATATCATTTTTAATTAAATTAATGTTTATAAATTGCATCTTAATCACCAAAACAGAATATTGAATTTTAAGCATCAAAAATAATTATAGATATTTTTATATATCTCCTTGGATTTTAAAAATATAAAGATGATATTTTATAAAGGTTTATTATACCAAAACAATATTTTTCTAATAAAATATTTTATACTTATAAAATTTAGCAATTAATTAAACTTAGACGTAAAATGGGTTATAATAAAACGTTTTTATTTGTAAACAAAAATATAATATTTATTTATACATAAAAAATTGATCTAATCATGCTAACCCTATTCTTGACGTGGCTGATTTACGATTCACTTAAAAATCAGTTTATTATAGCAGCTAATGCTTTCAGCTAAGCAAAAATATATTTGCTATCCATTATATATGAATATAAAAGAAAGGCTTTTAGAATAGAACAATTAAATATATGATTTAAAATGAAAATACACTATAAAATATATTTCTGGAACGTTCAATACAGTTCTTGTATATGGCTCCATCCTTGTTCTATCAATTTACTCAAAACTGCATTCAGGTAAAAGATACACTGTACAACTGCCGTATACTTATTAAAATTAATTTAAAACTTATACAAAATGTTACAAATTTTCCTTCATTTGTATAAAGATACCACAATTAAAATTTGATCGAAAAAAACAAACCTTTTTATTAACCTTGTATTCATTTTTAATTTTTTTTAAAGGAGTGTTAGCCGGTCACGATAATAGGGTCAGTTGTTTGGGCGTCTCGGATGATGGAATGGCTGTAGCCACTGGTTCTTGGGATAGCTTCCTCAAAATATGGAATTAAATTTAAGCACAACGTTTACGTACAAATTTTATAATTTTTCAAAACTTTATATCGAGCAGAATGTCAAAATAACATGTATTTAAGATTTTTTATTATGAATTCTTTAAACGTATGGCAATTTAATTAAACTTATTTAAATTATTTGACACTATTACTGAATCATAATAATTCACACATGGCTAAGTGCTTAAAAATATTATGTTCTGATTTTGATAAAAGTTACTTTATTATATAGAATATTATTTCACTATCTTAAGTTGGTAGATTTTATATTTTTTTTAAACCAAATATTTGTTAATTAGTTTTAATACAGAAATCCCTTACTATTTATCTTTTAATTTGACATAGTTATATAGCCCAACAAAAAAAAATTAATCTAACTTACAAAATCATGTTGATGTGTGTTGTTTATAGGCATTTATCCTATTATTTAAAAAAAAAGTGATCCAGCATATTTATACTTTCAAAATAAATAAATTAAATTCCATCTTTGGCCAAATTATTGTTCCTTTTAAAAATTTTGTCATCCTTTATATTTATTTCTTCTTCCTCTGTGCAAAAAAAAAGCTGCTAAAAAAATTTGTCCACCTAGAAATCATTTTTGATCCTTAAGTGCAAATGCCTTGTATTTTTTTTCGTTATAAAATTTAACTGAATCACGCAATGTTAGATAGATTGTAGATGTTTTGTATAAAATATTTTTTTTAAAAAATCACCTTTAATTTTCCTTTAAAAAAATTTATTATATATAATTTATATGTCTCTTTTTCCCATAGAAAAGAAGAAAAAAATCTTATATAGAATTATTTTTGAAGGTTCAGAGGATTAACAGTTTCAGATTTATAATTTAAAAACACAACCCTTTTTTTAATGTGTCTTATTTTCTTTCAAATCTTCTCCATAACGAATTACGTGATTATTTTATTCTAATTAACAAATCAAATGTCGTAATATATATTTATACAATATATATATGAATGTACCATCAAAAATTATATTTTGCTTGAATCACCAAATTTTATTATCTTAATTTTAAACTATTTTTTTTATTTGTAACTGTTCTGCTTTTTTTTAAAAAAATTAAAAATTTACCAAACAATTTTTTTAATTTTGAAAAACAAAAAAAATTTAATGGATAGATGATGATCATTAATTATTTGCCTATTATTATTTTTTTTTTGTATAATATTTTTTATATAAATAATATGATAATATTTATTATATATATATAATAATTATATAATAATTATATATTGTCCTTTTTTTAATTTAAAATGATCCAATAAAACCCTATTTTTTTTAACCAAATTAAAATTTTCCAAATTAAGCATGTGCAAATTATATTCGTAACTCTTACAGAACCTAAAAGGCATCTTTATTTTTTTTAAATATTTTAATACATAATTGATCATTTTATCTTTACACATTCTTGACAAAAGTAAGATGAAAATATAAGAAATTTAAGCCTAAAAAAAATCAATCTTGATTGATTTTTCGTGTACAAAAACGAAGTAATGTAGAATAATCATGCAGGTGCGACCTATGTTTTTAAAAATTAATATTGCACATGCAAATATACCTATTATGAATGATAACACCCAAGTATTCTTAATTATTAACTTAAAAAAATTTCCTAAAAGAAATACTATTGAGTCGTTTAATTTTTTTAAAGATTTATTTATATACACCCTATCTTGTGTAGCGAAGCCATATAGCAATATACCATAATTTATAAAATGATGACTGAAATTTAATCAGGTTTTAAAGAAAATTTACGATATCATCATTAAAGATTTTATATCCATAAAGATCAATCACAAACTATTTACTTACAAGATTCTTTTTTTAAAAAAATTGAAATTTAAGTTAAATTCTGTGAAAATCTTTAAGATTTTTTTTTCTTTTTGAGCAAATGTTAAAATATGGTTTTGGACACCCTTTTATAATTTTTTAAATTATAGAATTTAACAATTAATTATGAAGCGATGAAAGCAGCTAAGTATTTTATCCAGAAAAATATTAAGCAAACCTGAAGATTTTGCTCGTAGATGGCACAAAGGTTTGGACTATTAGCGAAATCTCAAGGCAAGTAATATTTTTCTGACTAAGGTATTAAGTTAGCCGTTTTAATAAATCAGCTCAAATAGAGCGATTTTGCTTTGCTACATAAGGTGATGATATCTTTTAATACAATCAAAGATTATACTTATTCCTATTTTAGATCTAAAAATTGCTATTTCGAATTTTAAACCAAAAAAATGATTCAAGTCGCAGTTTAAATATCCAAAAAAATGTGTTAGGGACTTCTTTTTTTAAGAGAATTAAGAACAAAAATTAAGTCTGCTAGGATGTGATTATTTAATAGAGATAATTTAAATAATAAATGAATAAAAATCTATTTAAACGGCAAAAATTTGTCGATCGCCGATATTTTTTTTAAATATATCCGATACAAATTTCTTAATGGAATATTTTACAATTCATATAATATTGAACACTATTCTCTCTTTAAAATATTAATTGACAATTTGAAACGAATTTTTCCTTGTCTCTCGGCTCAGGCCTTTTTTTAGTTAGGATTTTTTTAACATTCCTAAAATCCTTTAATCCCTAACGATCGAGGCTATTATTTTTAGAGAGGTGCATCTTTGTGAGATTCGGAACCAGAATAAGAGTCATTCTAAGTGACTGCTTAAACAAGTTAACAGACATAGCTTGGCATTAAGCCACATTTCCTTCCAAACATTGCTGTTTTGGTATAAGATCCCCACTTTCGATTTCAATTTGTGCGTTCATTGCTAGCTATCTACAGGCATGTAGATTAATTACCAACATATGCCGGTCCTTGATTCCTTTTTGAATATAGATAGGACGGAGTGGTCAAAATCCGTCAAAACCACAACCCTATTTCCGATCTCTGAAAAACAGTTGGGTCTACCACTTGTGAAAAACTCCTTTGACTAACTTATTTTGAGTCATTCACCTTTGGCTAGATACACTTTCATTGAACTTATCAGGGATCGAGGATACGAATTTTTTGATGCTATTCCATTTGGTAATCTTACATTTGAATTGGACAACCAAACTCAGCTATGCTCTACGTTAAAGGCTCAATATTCCTTTCTCATTACCATATAGAAGCAGAAAATAAGAATGATGACAATATGGTGCTGCATCCTTTACATTGCATTGTAATCTTGGTCGGCAAACCCGACAACCGATGGCAATCAAACCAAATCTCTTGCACTTAGGTCAACTGGTTTTCCTACCTCATTGGAACCTTCAAATTTGATGGTCACGAGGAAAGTTAATATGGGTTTTATCTTCTCTGGGCACAAATTCCCTTTCCAATTTTAACAAACACATTGAATGTTAAATCCTTACGAATATTTTAAGATATTTACGAATGATTTCAAATATTTACGGAAAATTTTGAATATTTATGGAAAATTTTGAATATTTATAGATAATTTCGAATATTTAGGAATGATTTCGAATATTTAGGAATAATTTTGAATATTTAGAAATAATTTCATTTATGAATTTGAATATTTACAAGTAATACGAATAATTCGTCGATTAATATCTTTTTCGTATTCAATTCAAAATTATGCGAATAACGAATAATTGATTTTGGATTATGCTTTAAATAAAATAAATGTTATTCCATCTACCTAATGACAAAACTTTATTATCATAATTATATATACAAATAAAGTTTTGGGTTCACTTTAAATGTGCTTGGTTTTCTTATTTCTCTTTATTTATTATAAAATAAGATTAAAATTACTTATAGATGAATAATTACTTAACATACATTAAAGATTTCCGAACCTTTTTAAAATTTAATTCCTAAACCAAATCAAAATCTTTATATATTTTTCTTCCTGAAACCTTAAACGAATTTTTATATTTTTTCATTTCTCATAAGCAAGGTTGGCTAGTCGGTCAATGTCAAATTCAGTCAATTTACCGGAGGAGTATTTGACCTGGTCATTCTAAAAAATCCGAAGAAAAAAAATTAAAAATATGTTTGAAAAAATGTAAAAACTATATAAATACATGTGATCCGCAATGCTCCTTATTTATTGAGTCCCCAATATCAAGGGAAGCGTATTACTAGTAGTGAATTTAATGAAGTATGTGAATTAATACAAGCATTAGGCATCTTACCAGGTGTTGATGAAATATTTCAAGTGATATCATAAATTTCAAGTAGATGCGGCATGTTTAATAGCAAATTATGTGGAAAGCAGTAACTTCATGCCTATTAAGGGAAATGGCATTTTACTAAAATTCCTAGTTTTATTTCTTCTTCAGAAAGAAATTAGTCGATTTTGGTTAATATTCTTACTAAAACAGAAAACGATTGAAGATCTCGACATCAGTAAAATTGAGTAATAATATTAAATATGAATCAGACCAAGACTTCCACTGTATCGAAACATTAGTTATTGAATAATAATGAGTTTATAAAATATTATAAAATTAAAACTATAGATTCATTTTACCATTATATACAAAATAAAGTTAATATTGTCTTAAAAAATATTTATTTGAATTTGACCGGTCAAATATAGGTCAATTGACCGAATCTTATTTGGCCGGTCAAATACACAACCCTACTCATAAGTATTATGTCAATAATGTGAAATTATTAATATAAAGTCTTTTATTTTATATAAAGGGCCCATTGACCCCCGTTAATAAGTTATGTTACATTTTTTGTCTTACGGGTTAAAACTCTTACTCTTTTGTAAAATAATGAAACATTGAAAAGTTTTTAATAATTATTTTATTAGAGGGTATATCATCTTTGGATTATTATTTAAAAATTCGAATATAACAAAAGTATTTTATCAAGTCTTTAATTTGTATCATTAAAACATCGGGATACCTCGCGTCGCAAATTCTCGGATCAAGAATTTACGCATAAATGGGGAAAGATGAAGAGGCCTGACAGCTCTAGTTTTATTTTTATTTGAATAAAATTCTGTTTAATATATTAATAATAACATTTTACAATATCAATCTTTTATTAAAAAGTCTAAATTGGGCATTTCTATCATTTTTTAATAACTTAAAAAATATATTAAACATTGACTAAAAAAAATACAATGAAACATTTGAATTAGATTAATATAAACTTTAAACTATAACGATATTTTATACTAGTTAATTGTATTTTTGGTTGATTGATCATAAAATATTTGAATCTGTTTCGTGTACATCGCCTTCCAGTCACCTGTCGGTTCCAAACATTTATCATTTCCCATCTCAAACGCTCTATCAAATGTTCCAATTTCTTCCCTATATTCGATTGCTTTGCTTTTTATTTTGTACATCAAAGATGTTTGGTCCATCTTTTTGTTATGAATATGATCTCCATTGAACATGTGGGCTTCAACTCCTGCATAAATCCTGTCTCTGACACAAATTTCGAACAACAACCTCATCTCAGTAAAATAAGTTTCTAAATAAGCTCTCATTCTATCAATACTTTTGTCTTTATTACTTAAGCGCTTTTCGTTAGAAACATCATACTCCATGTGTGATACATGTTCGGAATTGAAACCCGATTTCATGAGTGCTGGCAGATAATTGGCGCTAAATTTGCTGATCGTCATATTACGAAATCTTTTAGTTAATACGCATTTGATTAAATTTAAAGCTTTTAAAGATGATAAAGCCAACATTTCAATTATATCTCCGTGATCATCTTGTTTCGAATGGACGTTATTGCTAAATTTACCTACAAAAGATGGAATCATAATTAAACATGGCATAATATGTTTTTCGATCAAAAATTCATCCATTTTATTTTCAGTGATGATAACACAAAATATATCGAGAACCACTGTAAGTAAATTTTTATTGAAATACCATTCGGTTGCCGAATTGTCTTGAATATTTTCCTGAAAATTTGATCGAAGTAGTTTAAATTTAAATAGGTTTATATCTTCGGTACACTTGCATATGCAACTAATAAGTTTAGGGATGAAAATCTCGCTAAGCAATTCGTAATCAAAGTACTGGATCCATTTTGCAAAATTTTTTAACCAAAAGTAACCACGTGTCAGATCATTGATTTCGTAGGTG